ACTATTACATCATAAAGTGGCACATTCCACAAGCTGTCTTTTTCTGAGCTTGGTTTCAATAAAAGCTGTTTTGAAATGTATAGGATGTTTTTATAGTACAGTGACCTCTTGTGTCAAAAGATCAAGGGAAATTTGATTTCTCAGTTCATGACCCCTTTAAGTTTTTTATCTGCTGTTTGTGTTTTATTTGATATCTTTTTTCATAGTTGATCAGTAACAGTACTAACGCTGTATTAGATGCCGCAGCTGATGTGATTCTGTCCGGTGACTTTCAGATGAAGATGTTTGACAAGAACCAGGATGGGCGTCTGGATCTGAATGATTTGGCGAGGTGATGATGATCTCACCGTGGAGTAGTGCTTGTGATTGATCAATCGGATGTGTTTATGTGTTATCTCAGTCTGGTTTAGTTCATGTCTCTTTCTGTGTGTTATTGATTATTTGGTGATGATTAAAGTGTTTCTTCTCACAGGATCCTGGCACTGAAGGAGAACTTCCTGCTGAAGTTTGAGATGGAGGCGAGTGAGATATTGGGCTGTCGCTGGGAATTGTGGGTGGTGTGACGGTATAATGGCGGGTTTGTGTGGAGCGAGTCCATCTGATCAGTGGGGGGATGAGATGAGCTATCAGATGAGTCCTAAAATAAGCTGTAATCAGGCCCCTGTAGCTAGCAGTGCTGGTTAACTCTGTCAGTGGTGTGTTTCTCAGGCCTGCAGTCACGAGGACCGACGGAGAGACTTTGAGAAGATCTTCGCTCACTATGACGTGGTGAGAGTGTCAGTGAGATACTAGTATAGGTTTATTAATACTTTGAATTAGTTTTTATATTTAGATTTTTTTCATTTTAATGTTCTAGTCATTTGTTGTCATTTCTTTTTTGTATTTCTGTATAGTTTTTATTTGGTTTTATTTCAGTTTTTGTTTTTTAGTACATAAAGTTAATCTAAATCAACATGATATAATGTTGTTTTGTCTGCTAGTTGAATAAGGTTTCATTTTTTAATATTCTATTTTATTTTGGTTAATTTTATTTCAAGTAATGAAAATGTTGTTTTATGGTTTTAGTTTTAGTGTTACTCTTGTTTCAGTTGTTGGTTGTTATTTTTATACTTTAACTCAAACCAGTTTTATTTTAGTATCATTGATATACTGTTATAATTTGTATTAATTGTTTGCATTATTATTATTATTTTTTATTATTAAGTTGGCTTGAGAAAGCCAACTTACTGATCTATTATTTAAACTTATTATTTAAACACTATCTCCTCCTAGAGCTTTAAAGCTATAACCACCAAACTCGGCCCAGACCTTCAGACTGGTCTGACTCGGGTTGCTATATCTTTTCTAACTGATCCGGCTTACGGTTTTCGTAAACCAGACTATCAAAACCACCTAAAATCCCATAGACTTTCATTGATATACAATAAGACTTATGGTGAATTTAAGCTGTCTATTGCTATAGCAAAGCTTAACAACTCCCCACTGAAAAACACAGCTAAAACCAGCCTAAGCTGATTGACTGCTTTGGCTGGTTTCCCAAGCTGGTTTTAAAGTGGTTTTGGCCACTTTTTTAGCAGGCCAGGCTGATCTTAGCTGTTTTTTTTTACTGAATCAACTGGTTTTAGCTAGATTAGCATAGAAACATGCTAACAAAATGCTAGTAACTTGCTAATCATGCTAACAACATGCTAGTAACATGTTAACCATGCTAGAAATGTGCTATCAACAAGCTAATAATGTTAACAACATGCTAGTACCACGCTAATCATGCTAGAAACATGCTAGAAACATGTTAACAACATGCTAGTAACATGCTAATCATGCTAACAACATGCTAGTAACATGCTAACAACATGCCAGCAAAATGCTAGTAACTTGCTAGAAATGTGCTAGTAACTTGCTAATCATGCTAACAAAATGCTAACACCATGCTAGTAATGTGCTAATCATGCTATAAAAATTTTAACATTTTGGTAAACATTCTATAAACATGCTAACAACATGCTAGTAACATGCAAATCATGCTAGAATCATGCTAGTAACTTGCTAACCATGCTAGTAACAGGTTAGTAACTTGTTAATCATGCTAACAACATGTTAATAACACGCTAATCATGCTAGAATCATGCTAGCAACATGCTAACCATGCTAGTAACATGCTAGTCACTCTAGCAATCTATCAATCTGTCTATCTATTGCCTTCAAAACATTAAAACTTTAAACTGTAGAACTACTTAAAGCTATTTAAAAGCTATAACTACTTAAAGCTATAACAATGTTTTCAACCTTTCTGGCCTGGCTTTTTCAAGCCAACTTTAAAGTTTGACATCAAACTTTACTCATCTAGTTTTAATTGTAGTTATATATTTCAATAATTTTGTGTGTGTGGGGGGGGTTGTCTTTTTTAATTAGTGTTTCAATGTCTATATATAGTTTTTAAATTGATTTTTATTTGAGTTTTAATTGTTTTTGTACATCAAGTTAAATGAAATGAAAATACGAAATGTATAGCTGAAATAAGATTTTTTTTTTAAATATTCTCTTTTCATTTTCATTTTAACGTTCTAGCAATTTTGTTGTGTTTTCTCATTTGTATTAGTTCATTATTTTAAAGTCTGTATGATATTTTTAATTTTACTTTTAATTATAAATTTTATGAAATTGTGGCTAACAGAAAAAAAAAAGTATTTTATTTCAGTTAATGTTAGTTTTATTTCAAATAACTATTTTTTAAAATGGTTTTAGTTTTGGTTTAACCCCGTGTTTGTGTGTGTGTGTGTGTGTGTGTGTGTCAGAGTAACACTGGTGCACTGGAGGGCGCGGAGGTCGATGGTTTTGTCAAAGACATGATGGAGCTGGTGAAGGTAAAGAGACTGATTATTGATTATGTCACAGATCTCCCGTTTATAACCCCAGACAGGACTGGTTGGTTAGTTGGTTGGTTATTTGTTTGTGTTTTTCAGCCCAGTCTCAGCGGATCAGACCTGGACAAGTTCAAGCAGGTTCTGCTGGGTCACTGTGACATCAACAGAGACGGAAAGATCCAGAGGAACGAGCTAGCACTGTGTCTGGGGCTCAAGCTCAATCCCTGATGTGTGTGTGTGTGTGTGTGTGCTGAAAGTAATTAGTGGTCAGTAGAGTGTGTGTCTGTCATTAGTGTCTGTCACTCCTGTACACTTCACTACATCACTCTGTGTGTGTGTGTGTGTGTGTG